ATGTATGTCTCTGCAAGAGTGGCAGATCCTCTGAAACTGGAATTATGAACAGTTGTGAGCCGCCATGTGTGTGTTGGGAACTGAACTTGGATCCTCTGGAAGAGCAACTGGTGCTCTTAACCACCGAGCCATCTCTCCAGCCCCTTGTTTTTGTTTTTTAAGATGCGGTCTTTCTATGTAGTCCTGGTTGGTTTAGAACTTGCTGTGTAGGCCAGGCTGTCCTCGAACTCACAGACCTATCTGCTTCTGCTGGGATTCAAGGTGTACACCACTGCCTGGCTACAGAGAATGGTTTTATCAGTGAATCAAATCTTTAAGCACAGCTTAAAGCAGACTGAAAAGTGTTTATAGATGAACTTTAAATTGTCTGAAGAGGATGAGGTGGGGTGCTGGATGACTTAGGAAAGAGTGACCCACACATGGGTTAATTTAACACAAAATGTTGGATTCCATAGAATTATGGCAATACAATCCTAAATGTCTTAGAAATCAATTCTAAATCTATATTTGTAGAAAGCAGTGTTGGGGCATTGGGCTTTAGTTCCCATTGAAGCAGAGAATTAAATGTGTGAAAGGTAATAACGGGATTTCAGCAATAGGATCTTGAGGTTTGATTAGATAAACTTGCAGTAGGGTTGTGGGTAATTGGGATAGAATAAACCCTAAGTCTGGTTAGTCAAGTTGTAATCTTTGCTTTGTAATATGTATTTCCCAGTCAATGTTAGTAAAGAGGATGAAAGCTGAAAATGGGGGCCATGGTTTGACTCAGTGTCGAGCACCACCCAGCACATGTGAGTTGCCAGATTCCATTCCACTAAGCGGGGTCGGTAGGAACCTAGATGTAGCCACGGGCATTATGCTATGTCTTGAATACAGTAGGAGATTATTTTGTTTTGGAAGAAATAGTAGGCAAAACCACAACCCAGGAAGGCGTAAGGGTAATAACTGAGCCATGGGCAGAACACTAATAAGCTCCAAGAATTAATCTATTAATTGATCTATTTTTCTCTAAAAAAACAATGTAAATTTTTCTTTGGAGACAAAATCCAGAGCTGCAAACATTCTCTTAGAGTGATTATGTTTAATCTGGCTGTATTACATGATTGAAAGAGCTGCTGTAAATTCAGACGCACAAAATATTTTCAGTTCTATGTATTTCTTTAAGCCATCAGAGTGATTGAAATGTGCGGAGATTGTTAGGTTGGTAAGGACAAGAGAGCTTTGTTTCATCATTACTGGACAAAGTGTTATTTCTTATGGTCATGCTTTTCTGTACAAAAATGGGACAGAGCCCAAGAGACCTCATCTTCTTGTCTACTTTCTTGTACCCTTTTCATATATGGGACTAGAGATTTGGGGATATATCAGGGAGATAAATGCTACATAGATGGGTTTTGAAGCGATAGGTGTCAGACCCTGGACTGTAACTTTTCCTTCCCTGGGTCATATGGCAGCTTGAATGTAGGGCAAGAATGCATGTCCCAGTTTCTTGCTTAGTGGCTGGGAAATTAACAAAGGTTTGCAGCTTTTCACCCAGGGCCACATTTTAAAAAGTAAAGAGTTCACAGCTTTTCAGACACTTGCCTGAAAATTTTAAACTATGAAGGGCAGGTTCATATGAATAGAAGAATAAGAAACGATGGGTCAACCAATAAGCACGCAAGACATACAGCCGAGGGAAAGAGAGAACTGGACATGCAAGGCAGGGAGAATTAAACCAGGCGCCTGTGACCCTGGCACATGGGAAATGGAGGCAGGAGGATCTGGAAGTTGAGATCGGAGCAGAAAATGCCATTTTCATAGGTCTCCAAACCAATCCATTTCCAAGTTGTGACAGGTTGGGGAACAGATACTTCTTTGTCCTTTGTATCTCTTCTTTTCAAACTCAGCACATGTGTTGGCATGGTAAGTCACTTTGAATATGGTGAGAGAGAGAAAAGTAGGGGGAGGGAGGAAGGGAAAGAGTAAGGAAGGGAGGGAGAGAGGGAGGGAGGGAGAGAGGGAGGGAGGGAGAC